AATACTTACTCCCCAGCAGGGGGTGCTGTTTGGGGAGATGTGTAGAACTTTCAAGGTGTGATATAGGTAGGCGCTGAAAGCTCCTCTTTGAAGGTTATACTCACTTCAGGCTCCCATCTAGATGTCTGTCGTGGTTGCCTGTACATGATGAAGTACTGTAACCATTCAGTACTGCAAGGTGGAGAGACAGGGCTCATGAGGCTTCCACTCAGAAATAAGAAATTTCTGAGGAAATTCTGAAGAACCTCTTCTGGTTCCATCTCACCAATGCTGTGAGTCTCAGCTCAGGATACCCTTATTGATTCTTGGGCTCCTCCCTTCTCTTCCTTAGGTTTTCTTTATTCTTTATATTTCTATTTTATATTTTTATTTTTACTGTTTGAACATTTTGTGTGTGGATATATTTTGAAGAAATCCACTCCCGTCTCCTCCCCTTCAATTCCTTCCCTGTCCATATCACCACTACCCCCACCACAACCTCATATACTCTACTTTAAAGCTTGATGAGCCTAGTTAGTGCTGCCAGTATGCGCATGCTGTAGGGACATCTAGGGGAACGTGGGCAACTTCTCAATGGCTGCATCCTTGAGGGGAAAAAGTCTGACTCCCTCTCCCAGCAGCCAGCAGTTGCCAAAAGAGTTCCTTGTCAAGGAGTGGAACTTTGTGACATCTCCCTCCCATCTACACTGGAATTTGGGGGTTTTTTTAATGTGTCACCACTAATTATAAGTGACTGGTAGGCTGGCTGAAATAGGAACCCCCACCCCTTTGACTTTAAGGCATTGATTTTTGTTTAAATGTAAATTAAATACATAAACATGAGAACAAATGAAGGACACAATGCTATTAGAATATGAAACTGTATTAAATGACAACTTCATTTCAGGCACAAAACTTCCCCTTTAAGCAATACTGGAGTTTTGTCTTATAACAACACCAATGTATTTCAAACTATTGAACAATAATTGAATGTTTCAAAAAGTTAGAAGAAATAAGTCCGTCTCAACCATACCAGTAACATATATATTCTATACTGTGTGTAATCTGAAGTTGGAGGAAGACATAAAAGTAAGATGAGGATTATTAGAGACAAGGAATGGAAAGATGGGAGGCGTAATTAAAAGTTATGGAGAGACTCGGGACTAGGCACGCACATGTCTTCCATCTCCATGGCCCCCGACATCAGTCAGTAGGCCGGTCTTCTGTGCCTGCAGGAGGTGGACGAGCCACCCCAGCATGTCCTGCGGGTCGACTACAGCTGGGTGACAGTGGACAAGCTGAGAAAAGTGCTGACGCCCACCCAGGTTATGAATAGGCCCAGCAGCATTTCATAGGATGGCCTTTATCTAGGGAAAGTCTACACCTTGGTCCTCACAGACTCAGCACAGAGGACCCCAAATTCAGGGAGTGGCACCACTTTCTGGTGGTCAACATGAAGGACAATAACATTAGCAATGACACTGTCCTCTCAGATTATGTGAGCTCCGAGCCTCCCAGTGGCACAGGTCTCCTCCACTGTCTGGATGGTGTGTGAGCAGGAACAGCTGCTGAGCTGAGACAAGTCCATCCTCAGCAACGAGTCTGGAGACATGTAGGGCAGTGAACTATGAGAAAAAGCCAGATGCCTGGTAGAAGGAGCTTTAGAACCCCGGAACCCCAGATAACCGCTGGGACGGAAGGCATTCAAGCTCTTCCCAGGCCTCTGGCTCAGCCCTCCACAGTCCCTCCCACAGAGAGGCCATGGTCATCAGTCACATAGGAGTAGCACCATCATGCAGATGAGGCATTCCCAAGCTCTCAGACCAAGCCAATAGGGGTTATGTGCTGCCAGACCTTAACCCACCCCAAAACTGTATATATGGGCCAAACTCAGAAATAAAGGTGTGCAAGATTCTTCCTGTTGTCTGAGAGCTTCTGTCGCGGTCCCTCCCCTCTTCACTGGCCAGCTGGTGCCTCACCGGGGCACTTCAAAGAGCTGTAACGCTTTTCAAAGAGCTGTAACACTTTTCCCCTCTCCACCTCGGAGACGTGGTCTGCTGCAGAGAAAGCAGCGGACTCTCCTTGTCTGCACTCCATCCCTCCAGGACCACTCGGGGACAGAGGCAGCCGCCCTTCGCACCCTGTCCTCAGCCAAGTCAGAGATCCACGTGGGACCCCATCTGGAGACGTACCCTCAGAGACAATCGTGGCAAGTTCAAGGTGGTAGCCTTCCGCAAGAAGTATAACCCAGGAGCGGTGTTAATCATGTTATTAGGTGGCGGGCACATACATGTTATTAGGCAGAGTGGGATGACTATTGCCCAAACTGTATGAGCAGCTGGATGGGAAGTAGGGGTGCTGCAGAGGCCAACAGTCCTGGGAACCCCCACAGTATTGTTTAGTTGTGTAAAGCATGCCGTTTCCCCCTGTCCTTCCTACCCTCTCATAGGGAGTTCTCAGCTGTGCTAGGATAGAGGTTTAGCGTGTCTTCCTGCTGCCCATCGTTATGATTCTGGATAGTCACATCCAAGTTTATGTTTAATTGAATTTAGGATCCATCTAGAGACGTGTCTCGTGTTCTGATGGAGTCATGCTATCTATCACTGATGTAAAAAGAGGAACTCTGAAAAAGAAATCATTCTTCCAGGATCAGGTCCACAGAGGAGAGCCAGGGCTAGTGTTTTCTGTAAGGGGTTAACAGGGATACTTGGTCCAGAACCAGGGACAGTGGCATCTTTAGAGGTGGGCTTTTAGGGACCTGTCCCCTGACTAAGACAACCCAAGAGACTCCCATCTCTGCTAAGCCCTGACTGTCCAGGTCAGGTGGCTGCATAGGTATCAATGTCCCTCTAAAGAACAGTGCTGCTGTGGAGAGAGACCCTGTTAAGCCCCTTGCTTCTCAGTGGGGTAAGCAAAGTCACCAGAGTCACTGGGTGTGTTAATCCTCATTATCAAATACAAATAAAAGGCATTGCATTCAGAAAAAAAACAAAAGTAATGGAGAGCATGGAAAGACCAAAAAACTATATACCCATGAATGGAAATGTCATACCAACAGCCTCATTTACACAATATATGCTAACAAAGTTTGGGGAAATTTTAAAGAAATTATTTTGGAGATTCACATCATAAAAGAGATCATGAGGGTTAGAGAGACAGCTCAGCCATTAAATGCTAAGCTCACAACAAAAAAATATAAGAAATTATGAGTTTGAGGGGAAAAAAGTGTGAATTCCTGCCTTGACATGAACTGAACACCATAACTGTTAGCCAAATAAACCATTTCTCCCCAAGGTAGCTTTTCTCAGGTTATCACAACAACAGAAGTGAAACTAGAACAATGGTTAAAAGACAAAACCTGAGAATCCACAAAATGACAAGAATGTTGCAAAACAGTCAAAGGTCTAGAAAATCTAATTACAAAAAAATCAAAGGTCTAAAAAAAATCTATGAAGTCAAATTACAGCAGAAAGCTTTCCAAGTCTAGACATAGACATTCGAACACAAGAGTTATCTTGAAGTCCAACTAGACATGATCAGAGTAGAAGACATAATACAGTCAAGATATCAAAAATACAAAACAAAGAAAGATTCTATTAAAAGCCATAAGGGAAAGACACCAACTCACTTATAAAGGCACGAATATCAGAACAATGTCAGATATGTCAAAAGGCAGAAAAATGTGGGATGATGTATTTCAAGACTTGAAACTGATTAACTCAACTATATTATTAACTACATTATTATTATTAACTATATTCAGTAAAATTCTGCCATGAAACTGACAAGAAAATAAAGACTTTTCCATATAAACACAAACTAAGAATTGTCATGACCACCATGCAAGCCTCCCAGAAGATGATAAAATTAATATCACGCACAGAGGAGGAAGAAAGATGTTCTTAGTAGCATGGGTGTAGGAAATAATAAATTTCATGAGAGGAAAAGATAAGCAAGGTAGAAAGGAATAAATGGTGTCCAACACAGGAAAACAGCAAACCCCCAACATTAATAGAGGAGAAAAGAAGGAGCAAGTATTCTGAACAAGTCAGTAAAATGCTTGCCTTACAGTTATGAGAGCCTCAGTTCAGTCCTCAAAAGCTGCAAGGAAAATTAAGCCAGGCACAAGCCAGGAAGGTGGCTCAGTGGTTAAGAGCATCCATGTCAGGAGGTTCACTCCCACCTGTAATTCCAGCTCTAGGGAATCCTATGCTTTCTTCTGGCCTCTTTGGTCATTCATGTGCACATACCCACAAACAGACACACATAATTAAAAATGAAATCTTTAAAATGTAAGAACCAAGTGTGGTAGCACATGCTCATGATAATTATGCTGGGAGACAGAGATAGGTGGTTACCTAGGGCTCATAGGTCAGCCAACCTTGCATACTTGGCAAACTCTTGGCTCTTGAGGTACATTGTATCAAGAAAATAAGTGGACATGTGTGCAAATACACATAAACCTAATAATGGGTGGGGAGATAGTTCAGAGTTTAAATGCTTACTATGCTAGTGTGAAGGCCAGAGTTTAGCTCCCTAGAACCCACGTAAAATGTCCAGTGGATGTGGAAGCCCACTTGTAATTCCAGCCTGAAAATGCAGAGACAAGGGATCCATTGGCTAGGAAGATTCATCATATTAGTGAGCTCTGGGTTTGATTGAGAGACCCTGACTCAGTGAATAAGATAGAAGAGTAACCAAGGGTAATCCAAGACATCAACCTCAGGCCTCCACATGCACACATGTACACAGATGTGTCTATACACATGCAAATATACATACATATGCAAGCCACACATGCACGTGAAGAAAAAAACAATAGAATAATAGCATTTTACTGGGACAAACTAGAAAATTTATTAATACTGTATTAATGTTGGTTTCCTGTTAAACTAATTACCAAATCCAAACACATGCATGTTGCACATAAGAATGTGAAGATTAAAATCTCCATAGTGGGAAATCCTCAGACCTTTTGTTCTGTGAATCTCCCCCCGCCCACCTTCCCCAGAATGAATTTATAGATTTACCCAGAAATGGATTGCAGACTGAGCAGTTGATGGTCAGAGTAACCTTTTAGATCCAAAATGTGGTCAAATGTGTTATGTGAACCAAGTTTTTACCTGAAGTCCAAGGTCAATGGTAAAGGGAGAGCTGTGAATCTTTCTGTTAAAAAAAAAAAAATGTGTGAAAGTCCCATGGTGATTGGTGTCAGGCCTCACCCACCACATCCTGTGCGTCTCCCTCACCCACTGGACTCAGTCCACACACACACCGTTAGAATTGGTCTGGCCACTGGTATGCTGCCAACACTCACTGCCCTACTCTGCCTTGGTGAGTCCTTAATTAAAAGGGAGTGGAATAAAAAGCAGGTGTGGGGGAGACAGTGTTTCATTATCACTGTTTTCTAGGGCTATGTCTGAGCCAGAGGATCAACATTGAAACAAGTAAGTCCTTCCATTGGTGTCTCAGGGTCATTCTTAGGGGTTCATTTTAGAGGTCCATCTGAGAACATCCAGTGACAGAGGCTGGCATTCTACCTCACTAGGGCGGCCTTTAAGCTGGTGGCTGAGAAAAAGTGGGATAGATAAGTAAATGGTTCACCTGGGATGCCTGCCTCTGGTTCCTTTTCAGAGACTCTCCCGAAACCCATCATCTGGGCCAAACCCAGTATCATGGTCACAAGAGGAAACTCGGTGAACATCTGGTGTCAGGGGGCTCAGAGTGCTTCTGAGTACCAACTGTACTTTGAAGGAAGCTTTTTTGCCTTGGAGAGACCAAAGTCATCTAGATCGATGAATAAAGTCAGGTTCTTCATTTCACAAATGACCTCACATACTGCAGGGATCTACACCTGCTTCTATCAGAGTGGAGAGCTCTGGTCAGAGTCAAGCAACCCCCTGAAACTGGTAGTAACTGGTAAGTGTCTTGGGTTTTAGATATAACATCACTTTGGCATGATCACAGGGAGTGCCTGTGTTCATGAATGCTGAAAACTGTCTAAGCCCCACTCTGACACTGCTTATGTTTGACTGGAACTCAGGGGATGTGTCCAATCATAGCTATGTCCTACAAGGACAATCTTTGTGGTAAGCTATCTATCCTAGAATCAAGTGTACCTTAGGTCAAGATCTCTGGGGGAGAAATTATTCTACAATAGGCCACTGTGTGCAGGGGTATGACTAAGGACTGCTGAACAAGAGAATCAAAGCTAGGCAGGAAAAGGTTGATCTGTGATGGAGTTTCATCAGAAAATGTAGCCACATACATACTTCTCAAATTTAACCAAGCTTGAAAATTACCTAGACATCTTGTAAGACCAGAGATAGCTCTTTTGCATGCATGTTCATTCGAATATCAGTCACAATAGCTAAAGGGCTAGACAGCTCATGAATAACAGCGATTGCTGTTCAAGTATGAGAACCTGAGTTTAAATCCCCAGAACTCACACAAAAAGCCAGGTGTTCCTGTGACATTCGAACTGGGCAGGTACCATCGTATTTCTAGGGCTTGATGGCCAGCATCCTAGCTGTTGGTTCATTAAGATTCTATCTCAAAAGAATAAGATGAAGAGGTATAGACCAGGGTACCCAGTATCTTCCTTTGGCATGTGTTTACAGGTACAGGACCATGCACCACATACAGTCACACAGATGAAAAAACAGAGAAACTAAATACACTAATAGCTAAAAGAAAGTAGTAACAACACTGGTATCTCTTAATGCATAAATAGATGAACACAGTATAGCATATCTATACAGTGGAATATTACTCTACCTTGCAAAAAAAGAAAATGCTAGCATTTTCCTATGTCTTCCTATGACATGGCTGAACCCTGAGGACATTATGCTAATTGAGACAAGCTGGTCAAAGGAGGAAAATACTATCTGATTGCACTTAGCTGAGTTACCTAGAATAGTCAAATACACAGAGACAAAAAAATTTAGAAGGGTAGTCGAAAGACTGTGGGAAGGAAGAAAGGGAGTGTAAAATTTTCTGGTTTTGAGAAGAAAAAGTTCTGGAGGTGAAGAATACTAATGATTTGTAGCTGTTGCATATGTTTAATAACTCTAAACAAGTGTTCATGCATGCACAGGGATGTGTGTGTGTGTGTGTGTGTGTGTGTGTGTGTGTGCGTGCGTGTGCGCCTGAGCTCATGTACAAACCAGAGATATTATTTTCCGATAGATGTTTGCTTATTTTTTGAGAGGGTCTCTCACTGGTATCTTGGGCTCACCAAGTGCATACACTAGGCTAGCTGGCCTACGAGTATGCCTATCCTTCTTCTCCAGCAGTAGGATCACAGGCATGTACCACCCTGCCTCAGTTTCTATGTGGATATTGGAGATCCATCCTAGACCTGAGGATCAAATTCAGGTCTTTACTAACTGAGTTACCTCTACAGTCTCCCAAAAATGATTCCTTTAGGACAGTGGAAGACCCAGAAGTCCTCAACCCTACACACAGAAGTAAAGACAACTAAGGAATGCTGAGAACAGGAGAAAGTCTTACGAAGGGAAGAGCACACCAATTAGTTAGCCCATACCTAATGGTCAACCCTGAAAACATACAAACAAGTAACAGTAAGAAGACTGAATAGGTTGTTGTACTTTTGTATTTAGGAATAATATATATATATATATATTATTAGGAGATATATATATAATTTAAACATGTATATATGTGTGTGTTTGTGTGTGTGTGTGTGTAAAACAAAAGAGGCCACAAATTTAAAAGCAAACAAGGAGAGGTATATAAATTTGTTTGTAGGGAGAAAGAAGGAGAAATGATGTAATTATATTATCATCTCAAAAAAAAATTTTTTAATGCAAAAGGCTATCCTATCCCTGGGTTTCTAATGCAGTGACTCTAGGTAGGGGAAGTGATCTGCAGGCTTCCAGGTAATTTAAGAAGTTCTGGTGCTAGGGACCAAACTCAGAGATACGGGTAGAGATGCAGAAGCTGTGATCCATGTATCTTAATCTCAATAGATTATGGACCCATCTGAGACAAGCAAAAGTGTAGAAAACAGAAAGAGCCCAGATTCCAAAGAATGATATCTGATCACAAGGACAGAGAAATGGGAGATGGAGAGGTTGGGGTGTGACAATGCTTTATATATACCAGTCCCACTTTTCTAACAGGTCTGTATGACACACCCAACCTCTGGGTTCATCCAGGGCCTGAGGTAACCTTGGGGGAGAATGTTACCTTCTCTTGCCAGCTGAAGACTGCAACAAGCAAATTCTTTCTGCTCAAGGAGAGAGGATCCAACCACATCCAGTATAAATATGGGAACATCCAAGCAGAGTTCCCCATGGGCCCTGTGACTATGGCTCACAGAGGGACATACAGATGTTTTGGCTCTTACAATGACTATGCATGGTCTTTTCCCAGTGAGCCTGTGACACTACTCATCAGAGGTAAAGACATTCTTTCCTGTATCTTAATCCTAGTCCTAAGTGGTACCCTTGATAGTCATGAAAAAGATAGCAAAAATTCTCTTCTTGTTAGAGATCCAATTGGGCACTTGGGACACCAGATGGGCAGAGAGAGGCAGAGAGAGATGAAGGAATAGAGGATAAAAGGGGAGACCTTAAATTCTCACTTTTTAAAAATATTCTCCATTTCTAGGAGGTGTTGAGAATACCAGCCTTGCATCTACAGACCCTACTCCTCTTGGTGAGTCGCTTCTAATTTCACCAGAAAGGAGCTGTGGAATTAGCTTTTGGTAAAGTGCTTTCCACACAAACTTGAGGACCTAAGATAGATCCAGAGCACCCATGTAAAAGTCGGGCATGGAGCCTTATTCCTGCAATCCTGAGAGGGGGGGAGCATATCATCCCTGGGGCTCAACAGAAAGCTAGTTTAGTTGAAATTCAAGGTTTATTGAAAGATCCTCTCTCAGAAACTAAAGTGGAAAGGATTTGATCTCTGGTCTAACACACATACACACACATCATAGAAAAGATCAAAGCTTTCTAACAACACTAAAAATGTGGTATTTACTCAGAACACCCATTTAGTGAACAGTACAAACACCCTGATTTTTGTGAAACTTATACCCCAGCAATAAGAAACAAACCAAGAGTCAAGAAAGCAAAGACCAATAAATGGGTTCTCTAGCACACACAGAGGAATCGAAGATGTAGGAAAAGAAAATGTCTTAAATCAATCATGAGGGAAGAAAGCAATAGGAAAGAGGGTTTCCCAGAGTGGAAAGTCTTTAAGATAAAGACAACTAGAAAAGATACTTGGAGGTACAGAGTGGGAGAGAGACAGCCTAAGGCAGGAAGATGATTTGGGTGATACAAAACAGTAGTGGGGCCAGTGGGGTTGAAAACACTTGTGTGGCTAGTTTCAATTCATTTTTTAAATTTTTATAAATTATTTGAGAATTGTATACAATGTTGAATATGATTAATATTCAATTTATCATAAATTCATCCTCCTCCTTACCCAACTCTTGGGTCTTTTTTTTTAATTCATCAAATACTATTTGTGCTCTGTGTAGCTCTTGAGTACGTAGCCTACCACCAGAGCATGGCCAACCTACCAAGGGGCAACCCCCAACAGCTAACAAATGCCAATGGCTACACATACAGGGCTGGAACTTTGACCCTTTTATACCCTCTCTCCATGTTGGGAGTGAGTCTATCTTGAGCTTGCACAGGTCTTATGAATGCTAACATAACAGCTGTGAGTTTATATGTGCACCTGCTCTGTTATAGTCTCGAGACATTAGTTCCTTGTGGTCATCCACCACCTCTGGCACTTACAAACTTTCTAGCCCTTCCTGCACAATAATCCCTGATCATTAGGAGGAAGGGTATGGTAAAACCCATTTAGGACAGGGAATTCCACAGAGTCTTATTCTCTGGCCTCTGTTTTAGTTGCCTTCTTCTCTAGTGATAATTTCTGTTGCTGTGATAAAGCACCCTGGCTAAAAGCAACTCTGAAAAGGAAAGGACTTATTCAGCTTCTACTTCTAGGTCTTGTGCCATCACGGGAAGGAAATCAAGATAAGAACTCAAGCAGCTAGTTACACCACATCCACAGTCAAATACAGAGAGAAACAAATACATTTATGCTACCTGTTTCAGCTCTAACCAGGTGTTCTCCTGTCCTGTATCATTCATACACTCCTGCCCAGAAAACAGTGGCATCCACAAAAGGCTGAGTCTTCACATATCAATTAATTATCAATACAATCCTACACAGACATATTCATAGGCTAACCTGATCTAAATAAATCCTCACTTGACCTCTCTTTTCAGGCAATTCTAGATTGTGGCAAATTGATGTTTAAAACTACTATCCATAACAGAGGTGATGATGGGATTGGGTACAGCTCATGTCAGTGAAGAAAATGTGCAAATTTGTCTTCAGTGAGGACAAAGAAATTGTATTGAATAAATGAGGAAAGTGAGGCTTTTCTGGAGGAGCTGTCTGGCAATGCAGACAACGTGTATTAATCAGCACTATGAATGAACTCTTACTTGAGTTCATCCATCTCTTTACTAGTCTACTCTATTACCAGATAAAGCCCCTAGGGTCTGGAATTCTGTGTGGGGACCAACCTGGGAATGCAATAGCATCCAATATAAAAGAAGAAACGTTTTAAAGAAAGGGTTGATCCTGTGCTCATTCCCTTTTTCATCCCTTATCCTCAGATTATTGGGAATATGACCTTTCAACCAAAGAATCAGGATTACAGAAGGGTAAGTGAAAGTCTAAAACCACAGTCTCTGGGGAAGGTACAGGGAAAAGCAGGAAGGTAAAAAAAGAAAAGGGAGGGAGGACCCAGGGAGTGGGGTGGGGTGGTGGTATGAGGGTGGGGGGTGATGGATGGGGACATCCTCGTGGGAACTGGACAGAGGTATGGGATGTGGAAGAGTCAGAGGGTGGACCAGGAGGGGAATAAAATATGGAGTGTAAAAAAAATTAAATAAAAAAATTTTTAAAAGAAGAAGAAGAGGAAAGATGGGGTGGGTATAGTGTCTATCAGCAGTCACCCTGTCTTCTGAATCCAGACTCTGCTTCCTGGGATCACACAACCCAGAATCTCATTCGGATTGGTCTGGCATGTATAATCCTGATGGCTCTAGTATGGCTTTTGGCCCAAGACTGGCTCAGCAAAAGGAAAGACCAGGAAAAGGCCAACAGATTAGCAAATTGGAAATGCAGGAGAAGACGAAGAATGAAGCATTACCGTGAAGAGGAACAAAGAGGTGCAATATCTATGTGGGAACTGAAGGCAACTCCTGGAACCTTGTGAGCTCTATGCTCCCCCCTGGATGAAGAAAGAGGTCTTTGCAGGAATGAAGGGGTAGGAGTGTTACCAAGTTTGACAAAGCATTCTAAGGACATTGTGAGAGGAAGCCTCTAAGTTTCTACTGCAGACAAGTTCTCACCGTCTCTGCTAAGCTTTAAGTACTTTAACACTTATTTACTGCAAGTTGTGCTTTTGACCACTCTGGTCTTTCCTAGAAATAACTACATTCCAATGTGATGGAATGAGAATATTTTCTTTCTACTTTGGGTCTTATCATTGTTTCATTTTCTAATTTTATTTATTTTATGTACATAGGTGTTTGGGGGCATGTCTGTCTGTGCACCATGTGTGTAGCTGGAGTCAGATCCACCAAGGACTCGAGCTAAAATGACTGTGAGCTACCACGTGGATGCTGGGAATTGAACTCAAGTCGTCTGGAGGAGCAAAAAATGCTCTTAACTACTAAACCATATCTCCAGTTCCATCTTCAATATTTTATATTGTGTGTGCATGTCTGTATGATGCATGTGTGTGCCCACATATGTGTGTGTATGTATATATATATACACTATGCCACGCAAATGAAGGTCAAATGAAGACTTCACACCTTTGTGAAGTCAATTTTCTATTTCCACTTTCTAAAAATTCCTTAATTTTTTGAGAATATAATTACATTTCCTCTCCCCTTCATTTTCCTCCTTTCAAATATTCCCATATACCCTTCCTTATTCTCTTTCAAATTCATGGCCTCTTTTTCATTAATTGTTGCTACACGTACACTGTGTGTGTGTGTGTGTGTGTGTGTGATCTTCCTAAATGAGTTTTATGTAGGTTCAACTTTGAATTGAATATAAGTTTTCAGATATATGTAGCAAGTATTTTAAACCTACCGAGACTTAGTCTTGCTAGTCTATCCCTATTTCTTTCTTTCTTTCCTTTGTCTTCAAGAATTCAAAATAAGTACCAAACAACAATAGTAATGAATAGACACACACTGTCCTGGCTACTATTATGTCAACTTGATACATGTTAGAGTTATTCTGAAGAGGGAACCTCAGTTGAGAAAAAGTTCCCACAAGTTTGATCTGTAGGAGATCCTACAGTGCATTTTCTTGATTGATGAGTGAAGTGGGCAGGCCCAGTGGGTAGTGTCATTCCCAGAAGGTCCTGGGTGCTATAAGGCTGAGCAAGCTATAAGGAACAAGCCAGTAAGCACCACCACCCCAGTTCAGAATCAGTTCTTATCTCCAGGTTCCTGCTCTAACTTCTCTTAGTGATGGGTTGTGTTACAAAATTGTAAGCTGAAATAAATCCTTTTCTCCCAAGGTGACTTTTGGTCATAGCATTTTATCACAGCATTAGAAACCCTAGCTAAGACATGTACCAAATGGTTCAGGAACCATTGCAGCCAGAACCAATAGAAATGCAAACTATGAACAAATAGTACAGAGACATAGGTGAGTCCCAGCTGGAGCTCAGTCTCCTCAGTTTCCCCACCTATACCCCATGTGAGTCCTGAGGATTAAACTGCTAGTCTGGGTGGCAAGTGGATTTTCCAGTTGAGCTGTTACAACAGCCCTTGGTATTTCCTTATAACAGCACCAGAAACCTGTCAATGTGTATGTGTCCATGTTCCCATCTGCACCATGGGTCCATGTGAATTGAGCCTGTCAGCTTGGTGATTATATTCTCAGTCCTCAAACAGATTATCAGGAAACACACTGAATGAATGGATGCATGACTATAACACAGAACTTAAGACTCCTGGGTCTGGATATGGGATGTGGGGTGCAGCAGCTTCTTCCTCCTTGAACTATTTGATTGCCCCACTAATATATTTATATGGATCACCATTCCCTGCTATACAGGTACCTTGGGCAGTCAAATTCATCTTTAAAGCTAAGTGTTCTGTTAAATATCAAGAGATATTCCTAAATTCAAAGAAATGCTATAATCTTTTTATAGATTTTTTTTTTGGTTGGTTGGTTGGGTTAGGTTGGGTTGGATTGGGTTGGATTGGGTTGGGTTGGGTTGGGTTGGGTTGGGTTGGGTTGGGTTGGGTTGGGTTTTTGTTGTTGTTGTTATTGTTTTTGGTTTATTTTGGTTTTTGTTTTCTTTGAGACAGAGTCTCACTATGCAACCCAAACTGCTATCAAACTCTTGATCCTCTATCTGCAGACTCCCTAGAGTTGGGATTACAGGCATATTCCACCATCCCTGGTTTAATACAAAGATTTAACGGGGAAAGTAATATCAAGAAACTCTTCTAGACTCTGACATAATCCTCACTTGCAGCACTGTAGGCAACTGGTGGCTGTACCTATCACCAGGAGGGCTCCAAATTGAATTTTCTTCTCTCCTTTCTCCATTGGCAGAACTTTATTAGTATCCAATTATAATCTCCCTACATCATATTCTACCCAATATTAAATGAATTTGTTTGGAGTAAGTTTATGACATGTTGAATTTTCCTTGTTCTAGTTTATGGCAAGAAATATGTCATCTTAAGCAAAATATCTCTCTATCTCTCTCTCTCTTTACCTCTCTCTCCCTCCCTCCTTCCCTCCTTCCCTCCTTCCCTCCCTCCTCCTCCTCCTTTTTCTCCTCCTCCTCCTCCTCCTCTTCCTCCTCCTCCTCCTCCTTCTCCCCCCCCCTCCCGTCAATGAATATAGATGTAAAGCTCTCAATTATTGTCTGTCTGCTTGGTACTGTGATGATCATAGGGTAACACTCTAAAGCTGTGAACAAGTCCCCAGCTAAATGCTTTCTTTATAAGAGTTGCCTTGGTCATAGAAGTTCTTCACAGTAACTAGAATGATGCCCAGGAATTGTAACTAAGAACAGTAACTAAGACAGACTGCCTTAGTTAGGGTTTTACTGTTATGAAAAGACATAATGGTCAATGAAACTCTTATAAAGGAAAACATTTAATTGAAGCTGACTTTCAGTTCAGGGTTTTAGTCCATTATCACCATGGCAGGAAGCATGGTGGCATGCAGGAAGACATGGTATTAGAGAGGTAGCTAAGAATCCTATACGTTGATCCACAAGCAGAAGAAGGAAACTGTTTACCACAATAAGCATAGGTTGAAAACAGGAGACCTCAAAGCCTGTCCCTGTAGTGACACACTTCCTCCAACAAGGCCACACCTACTCCAACAAGGCCACATCTCCTAATAGTGCCACTCCCTATGAGCCAAACATTCAAACACCTGAGTCTATGGGGGCTATTCATATTCAACCCACCACACAGAACATCTCTCACCCTCTTTTATCCATGGATCTGAACCTTAGTTCCCCATGCTATTGCCCAACACAGCTATTATATGTGCTGATTCTTCATGCTGACTCCCCGAACCCCTAGAAACTGTCTTCTCTCCACAATTGCTTCTTAAGCCGCTATCGTAATAATCACTAATAAGCTTCCGATAACACACGACGAGATCGTCACGTCTTGTTGGTTACATCTAACACTTTGTCCATTTCTTGAGTCACTTCTCTAGTTTCTCACTGCTTATCTTCAAATGGTTGTGGTATTGTTATGTTTTCTGTCAGGAGCCATCTAGGAAAGGCTAAGGCTAGCAGGTGGACTTCCTGGAGGTGGCCTGCCTTTTTGCATGGCCTCAGATGAGTAAGCTCTGAGAGCAAGCTCAGGTTTGCTTCTTGCAGCTGATACACTTTTTTCCTATCACTATTACATAGCCTAGCAATTCCTGGGCATCAGCCGACCCTATTGGGCAGATTTCCTGAAGATCAATATAAAGATGAACTTTCACAAATTAATGCTATTTAGATGAATTAATGATTTTATAGAGTTCCTGATTTGATTCAAATGATCTTAGAAAGAACATTTTAAGAGATGGTTTTTGTTGTTTGCTAGAAAGAAATAATAAAGTTAATATCTATAATAGAATGTGCCCACTCCCCATAATAATAAGTAAAGGCTGCATAATAAGAAATACAATGAGCTTTCATACTGCACTAAAAGGAGATACAGGCTCGGGAAAAATTTGCACTCAAGGAAAAGCATTCAGGTCCAAAGATGAAGCCCCAGGAGTGCATTTTGATAAGACAAGGCCATGTAAGACTGCTGCTTTGAACTTAGAATGGGCATACAGAATGAAACACTGCTTTGAACTTAGTATCAACATCCTTTTGTAACTCCCGTTTTGTCTAACGTTTTATCTAGGCAGTAATTTTTTAAAAAGGCTAGAGAAAAGAAATTAAAATGATGGAGTGGCTTGGGGAGTCTCTATCCTATATCCATCCATCCATCCAAATGTAATAATGTAGCCATTTTCTGCTTCATCTGGTTTGTGTGTGTTTTCTGTGTGAGTGCCTCTTTCTTTCCTTTCTGGTTCACAAAGAGATAACTAGCTTGACAATCAAGGGGCTCCTGAACCTACTAGAAAGCAAGCTAGCAATAAATCCTTTACTTAATCCCCTGCTGTTAAGCAACAGGTATTAATTCAGTTCTATTTAATACATTTTTATTAATTTTATTTTTTATGGGAAGAGTGTGTGTGTATGTGTGTGCCCATGTGCCTGTGAAGGCAGGAGCCTGTGAAGAAAAGAAGATGGCCTCAGATCTACTCTCTCTTTCCTGGTTCACTGAGTTGTGAACAACAACTGCCAGCACAGAAACACCTGCTTGAATGTCTTCCTGTCCATGATGGACTCTACACTTTCTGTTCTATTTATAAAAGATAAGGAGAGAAGGAATATGTTTGGTGGATGTGTAGTCAGGTATGGGGGAAGGGGGTCCCCCCATGGGCCCATGCTGAGGCATCCCTTCCCCCTGAGGGACCAGCCACATGATGGTCATAATGGTATAGTATAGAATAGAGTTTATTTAGGGCATGGGGAGGGGAGTTGAGAGGGTAGTAGAAACAGAGAAAGGAAGGGAGAGAGAGACAGAGACAGAGTAGAGGGATAGAGGCAGGCCATGAGCATGTGGAGAGGGAGGAGGAGGGGATTGGGGAGAGAGGGGAGGGGGCAAGAGG